CCCCCACACACACACACACACAAAAAAAAGCCTCATGGGGACCGAAGTGAATCATGGGGACCACTGCCAGGTCCCCATGGGTCCAAATGCAAATTACAGGTGTGGGGTTATGTTTAGGACCAAGGTTTAGGGTTGTTTTAGGATCAGGTAGGTACCTGTGAGGTTAATTTTAGAGTATATGGTCAGGGTTAGGCTATAAAGTCTAAAAAACATGAATGGAAGTCAATGGAAGGTCCCCACGGGGTCAAGAAAGAGACGCGCGCGCGTGTGGGGCCTTATGTTTTGGCTACTCGGTGGGGGATGATTTTTCAGGGAAAATGCAGCCTCGTGGGGACTTAAGTGTCAGGGTAAGGCTGTAGAAATGGCCAATAAATGAATAGAAGTCAATAGAAAGTCCCCACAAGGATAGAGAAACATAGTAGGTGTGTGTGTGTGTGTGTGTGTGTGTACTTGTTTCTGCTACAGAGTGAAGCCAACTTGCCAAATAGTTACTATCAAAGTGAAGTGTTTGATGTAAAGTGAGGACCTTCTGGTCCCCTTGATGAAGATAAAAAGATCATCATCATCATCGTCTTCCATCCAAACAGCCTTCTTGGCGATCACAGAGTCATGCTGCCAGTTGTTTTTCCCTTTTTGTTTTTGTTTTCAAGATTCTCATTTTTTCTTCCCTATCATATGAAGTGAGTGACACAAAGACTCCTCCCCCTCAGGTAGAGACACATCTTCATCAGTCATCTTCCTCCTTTAGTCCATGTCTGCCTCCCTCAGAGACACCAACTCTGCCCTGAAGTCAGAGACTCTCACAAACAGTAAGTCTTATTACATTTCAGAAAACTGGGTCTGAAAATGTTTCAGTATTTAAACACGTTTTGTTCATTTTAGTTGGAGTTTTTGTGTTTTTATTACCTGGTTTCTACTTTTGTAAAAATGTGAGGAAGGTTTTCCAGTCAGCCTTTTATATATTTGTTAAGATACACAGTAAGGTTTACTGTTGCATTTTGTTTAAAACGGTGATTTTAAAATTTTAAATTATATAAGAGTTACAGAACAGGGAATTTGTCTGTTTTCACTCTGAGTTACTTGCAGTAAAGTGTTAAATAGTTTTCAATATATTTGCTAATTATTTTTATGTGTTTCCACTCGTGCAATAAATGAAAGATTCGGTCACTTTTTGTAATGTTTCTGTCACTTTCTTAGATTTTTTCATAAAACAATTCAAATTCTAAAAATAAAAAAATCAATTTTTTTAGTTTTGATTTTTTTTTATTACCAGTCTGGGATTTCATCAGAGGTTGAATTGTTTTTAAGTCTAACAGCTTATTTGTTGTTGACAGTTTTTTGTTTTCAGGTGAGATGCCAGAGTCTCCTCTCAGTCCCACGGCAGCTCGTCAGACTCCGACCAGCAGCCTCCTCACTCATGCAGACACGGCAGCCGGAGGAAGAGCCACTGATGGGGACTGCAGCAGAGAGATGAGTGTGGAGAACAGGCAGAGTCTGCTCCACAAACAGGTACACTCACCCTGACATGACTTCTTTAAATATGAGGAAAAAATAACATTTTAAATGAAAGCTTTCATCCTGGTTTTACAGTAGAATTCCAGCGATTTCTTTTTATCGCCCGCTGCAGAAAGGCAAAAGACTGGGCGATAACGTTTCTGTTTTTTCTTTTTTTACTTATTTTTAATTCCAAATGATTAAAAACATATGCCTCACAAGTAAGAGCAGAATTTGCTGTTTTTATCCTGATCATCAGTCCAGCTGTAACTTTGACCTCTTATTGGGGTCAATTATTGAGCTTTAGACATTAAACTAAATACGTAAAACAACTTTCCTTTATGTGTGTGTCTACAGCAGAAATAAAAATTCGGGGATTTGCATTTTATTACTATAATATTAGACTTTTTAAAGTCACAGAGAAAGCAAAGGATGTTGGTTTTTAGCCTGTGTTTTTTTTTGTTTAAATGTTTGTTTTGGTTTTAAATATATTCAGTTAATTCAAACTTTGTGTATTTTTTACTCTGTTTGTAATTTTACGTAATGTGTAAAAACTGTTTTTTTTGCTCAATTTGGTCTAGTTGCTTCAACAAAGTCAGATTAAATTATTTAAGTGTTATTATTTAACACTTTCCATAATTAAAGGCCCAGTATTCTTTTACAAAGTATGAATAGGAATAACTCACAGCTACTACAACACCAAGTTAGTTCAGTATCTGTGAAAATGATTGAGTCACACTGTTTTCATGTGGTTTTAAGGCCAGCCAAGTTGTGTTGGCTCCTGTCAGCTGTAGAAATATATTCAAGGATTTTCTCCCCTAAACCTTTATAAAGATTAATCCAGTCATTCATGAGATATTTTACTAACAGACAAAGAATTGTCAATGCATCTCAGCAATGTGAAATAATTATAAAATACAAATTAAGACAACCAAAAGAACAGTTGCTCTAATGTGTTTTTATTGAATTTTTAAAATATTTTTTCAAACTTTCATTGCGACAACAAATGTCTTTTGCCCTTTATTAAAACATTACAAATTTGTTGGCTTCAAAACTAATTCAAACCATTTTAGTCTTGAACTGAGACGTACGAGTTTAGTGTGTTTAGATCAGCTTTAAATGCTTTATGTGATCTGCTCACAATAATACAGCTTTGTTAGAGTGTAAAGATTATTTTAATTAGATTACCCAGCCAATTAAATTCATTAGACAATAAATCTGAATTTTTTTAATATGATGATTCCTTTAAAGAGGCTTTGAGATTTAACATAATATGGATCTCAAACAATAAAACTGATAATAAATAAATAAATAAATAAAACTAGTCTCAAACAGTTCATTTTGTAAAAACTCAAAGTTTAAAACTTACGCTTAAATTAATAAATCTTTGTGGAAGACAACCCTACAGCTGCCCTTGAGTCAAATGGAGACTGAGACCTCTGCAGTCATTTTGACTCCAGGGCAGCAGGAGAATTCTGCAATTCAAGCTGATTTGAATTCAATTCAACGGCTTAATAAAAGTTTCCACAGAAAATGCTGAGGATTACATCAGCATCTGATTTCTCTCATCCCAAGTGTCTGGGTGAAATCTTCTTTCTTGTTTTTTTTTTTGTCAGCTGAAACACTTTTTCTTTGTGAACCACAGAAAAATGTGTTTTGGTTCCTCACTTTGTGTTTTCACTCTGTCCATTGAGCAGCTCCAATTTAAACACAAAAGCTGGTGAAACGTGTCGTGCTGCTTTGTTTCCTTATTCCTCCATCTCTGACGCTCAGTTATTATTCTGTGAGGGTTTGTCTTCATTAACACCCATACACTTCCATTAGGGGCCACAACAAGCATGAAATTGTGCAGCTAATTAGGTGGGTCTGTTTCCCCCCCCCTTGTCAAGGGTCGACCAGGATCCAGCATGATGGTGGACCAAACTGGGAAGGTTCTCCCTCTACAGATGTTAGTGCTCATCAGCTGACACACTTGGCTTCACTCTGCAGATTAACCGTGTCCTTCCTTTAAGGTCTTCCTGGCCATGATGAGTCCTCAGCAGCAGCTTCTGTCGCCCAACCAGCTGCAGGTCCTGATCCAACACAAGCAGCAGGCTCTTCTCCTCCAGCAGGTGCTCCACTCAGAGCTTACATCCAAACAACAGTCATATTAAACTGCAATAAACAAATCTAATCTGAATCCTCAGAGATTATTTT